AAAAATTTATATGTAAATGGATTCCTTCTCTATTTATATATTAATTTAAATATTTTAAATAGAATTTTTTTACTACTGTTAATGGTAATTTTTAAGTGATTAATATTTATTAACATAATTTATAAAAAAAATAGGTGAAAAGACACTTTAAAATTAAGTCACTCTAAAGTATCACAAAAAAAATCAAAATAGTATTATCCTCATTTTAAAAATTATTTATTAAAATAATAGAATTTTAAATTATTTTTCTACATAATTTTTTATGAATTTAACTAATAAATATTTTCTAAATTTTTAATTTTATAACTTAATAAACGTACTTCCTCCATCCATAGCAGACCTTTTTAGTTAAAATGTAGTAAAGGAAAATGATTAGGGATACTTTTTTTTACTACTTTTTTTTTTATATAATTTTAAATGCTATTTGAATAATTGAGTTCTTTTTTTATTTATTTGAATTAAGTAAATCACTTATTTAATGATATGTGAAAATTGTATAAAAAATTATATAGAAAAATTATCCTTATATCACTATTAATGTAATATATATTATTATTTTTAGTTTAATCTTATCTTTATTGATTATTCATTTTATCATGAAAATCATTTTTTTATCTTTATCTCTTTTTTAAAAGCAATATAAATAAAAATATAAATATTTTCAAAATTTTAATTCAAAGATAAAATTGAAAAAGGTTTATTATTTTTATATATAGGAAGCAAATGTAAATTTGAAATCATAGACAATGACTTTGTGCCAAAATATTTAGATTACAGCTTAGTTTAGGAATGTTGAGTTATGACTAGGTATAGATTTTTAGTCTTTCAATATCTGAAAACTATATAAAATATATTTAATATTTATTTTAATTAATATTTTATATATTTTAAAATAATTAAAAAATATAAAAACTAAAATGAAAACTAAGTTACGAGAAAACTCCCAAATTTAGTATAGTTTTGACTTTGGGTTTTGAGTTTCCCTTTTTTTCTTTTTTTATATTTAGTAGTTATTATTATATTTAAAAATTAAAATTTAATATAAAAATTTGAATTTATTAAATTTAATTTAAATATAATACTAGTTAATAAATATATAAAAAGAAAATTTCTTATTAATCTTGACTCTTATTAAAAAAAAATGGGGTCCCAACTTTAAAACACCATCATTCCATAAATATTTTAAACAATCAATGATTAGATTTAATGTTTTATTAATATAGCTCATGCATGTCAATTTTTAAGTTGATCTAATATCTATTATCATTCAATCAATAAACCTATATATTCTAATATATATTTAGCAATAGTAAATTTTTTTATAATTAATGAAGTAGTTATATATATTTAATTAATATGAAAATTGATATGCATTATCTACATGAATATAACACTAAATCTAATGGTTTATTTTTTAAAATATTCATTATAGAGTGGTGTTTTTAAGTTGGGACTCTAATTTTTTTTTTTTCGAATTGTAACTGATATGTACTATTCTCATATATAAAATATAAAAATTGAAACCTAAAAGCTACAGTCATGCTAAATTGAGCCTTAATTGGCAACTTTCTCTATTTCATATTATTTGGCATAATTGTCAAATATTTCTAGTATTTGCTTTGTAAGTGACAATCCACAACTCCCAATGACCAAGAGCTTCCTTGTTCCCTTGAATGTTTTTGTCAAGCCCCAAAACCAGGCGCAAAACAAACGCTGTACACTTGTGAGAGGATTGCACAAATGCACAAGGCTCGGAACCTACTAAATTCATATATGGCAATCCACTAATGAAGATCAATATCTCAAAATAAATTTTAGCTTTTATAATCCAAGCTTCACCAGACCAAGAGTGCAACAAAATTAATAGAACTCTATCAATACACTCATAACTATATCTCAAGGAATTCTAGTCTAGCGAGTCTATCTCCAAAATGAACTAAATCTAAAATATAAGTGACTAACCTTCTAACTCGTCACTCCCCTTAGTTTCCTGTATCTTAGGTCATGATACCTAAAATAGTAGATAAGGAAAAACTATGTGAGATAATTCAGTAAGTAAAAATGTGGGTAACCCTTATTTAAAGTTAAAGCATACTAGTTAAATAATTTAAAACATAAACCACAGGAAAATCTCAAATATAAACCATTAACACAAAGCAAAACTTAATAATGGTCTCCTTAACTAGTCATGGCTAGTGTACTCTCCCAATTGGTTGGATAACAAAAATACCAATGTATTTTCCCATTGACTGGATAACAAAAATACGAGTATACTCTCCCATTAATTGGATAGCAAAAAAACCAATGTACTTTTTCACTTGCAGGATGGACCGATTCTATAGAAATACATGTTGACATGTGCTAGCGTTAATAACTACCATTGGTAGGATAATAAAATTCATGACCATATTGCAGACAAAACCATACAAGAGTTAACAGGGAAATTCATAATTTGCAAACCAATCTCAAATCATTAAAAACAATCAAGTAAATTCCATATAGGCATGCTCAACTCAATAAAATAATAACAACTTCATTTCAAACCAATCATGCTCGTGTGCTAATGAAAATTGTATTAGATCTCGTTACCATCTCAAGATAGTTCAAAATATACTTTTAAAACCTTTACCTTAAAATTCAAGGCATTTACTATAATTTTACTTATCTCGCTTTGTAGGTAAACAACAAGTAATAATTCAAGAACTCAAAGCTGTTGAGGTGATTTAGAACTTGTACCACATGAAATGAATAAACCAAATTACAACATACTCCATTTAACTAATTTGGTTCCTAATTTTAGAATCAAGTTTCTAACTAAAGAAACAACTTCCTCCTACACTTCTTGGTCACTTCTCTATGTCTAATCATACTTAAAATAGGCTTAAAATAGCTCCAAATGTCACATGAAACAGTAGGTATTCCAAACAGATTTTTTGGGCAGAATAATGTGAGATGTGAGAATCTAAGCTCAAAATTATCCCAAATAACAGCACAAAAATTGGGTAGCAATGTGAGGGTTTCCACCATTTGAAAGAGTCCCAAAATGTTTAAAAAACACCCTAAATAGTAGGATTTTCTGGGCAAAAAACAACAATGAAACATGGTAGAATATAAGCCAAAATTGGGCAAAAATAGACAACAGCAAAAAGGCAGCAAAATAAAGTAATAACAAGGGGTTTTGAGAAGGAAATAATAGCTAAATGTCTACTAAAACCATGATGTGATGTAGCAACATATAATATGGGAATTGACTAGAAAATAGAGCAAAATTTTGGGCATTTTAAGAACAAGTTCTGGTCATATTCTGAATTGAAAGTTCCAATAGAATTTGCACCAAAAAATTGGCCAATCTATGTTGAATGGTTAACAGATAAATTGTAACCCTATGTCTTAACGTTCTATAGGATCAAAAATCACCTTAATCCAACATCTACAAAGAAAGTTATGGTTAAAATACTAACATAAGGTTAGGCTATTAGTTCCATCCGTCTATGAGAACCGAACTTGCAGTTGAGTTTTCACTTTGAAAGTAGTTTAACTAGGTTAAACATCCAATAGAAAAACTATAGGGATATCTCTTAACTTTTCATAGAATCAAGAATGAACTCAATCCAATATCTATAAACAATAGTTATGAGCAAAACACTATTGCAAGGTCATGCCGTCATACTTTTCCAACAAAAGGGATTGGATTCTTATGGTGCTAAATTATAGACAAAATCAAGGGGGAAACCATAGAAAATTTCAAAAATTGAAAACTCTAAAGGATTAGAGTTAGCCCAATTCAAATCAAAAATGAAAAAATGAGTAACATGGCTGACTTCTTACTAGAAAGTGTTGAAAAATGGTGTTTTGTTATTATGGACAGCAAACCCTACACAGACTAGCAAATTGGGGAATATCAACAACAAGATCTGGGTTTTGATCATCATTTGAGAACCATGAGCTCATAAATCTCTAAATCAGACTTGGGAGGAAGAAGAAGAAAAACTAAATATTACCTAATTTTTGGTAAGTAAGAGTTCGGTACAGGCTAGGGTTTGTAAGAAATTTTTTGCTAATGACATTATGGGGAAGCACAAAAAAGGCAAGGAGAGAAAAAGGAAAATCAGCCTTAGCCCCTTTTATCACCAGATTTTTCTTTTAACTCTCCTTAGGTTTGTAAATTTTAATTACTAGGCCTAATAATAATAATTTTTCCCACGTAAGTTCCTAACTTAAATTCTAAAATTTCAAAAAATTTTGGGATATTACAGTTTTCCTCCCTTTTTCTTCTAGTTTCCTTTAATTATACTTGCAATTAGATGGTGCTGACAAATAGTATTTTACTTACTAATGCTGAAGTTGTTGGTGGCATTGGGGATG